TAGGGAAGAAATGAGAGGTAAATTACGAGACCAATAGAGAGCATGTCGATAGCTCAGTCGTACATGATACGGTAGCTAGAATTCTTGGTTTCATCTACTGCCTCCATTTTTGAGCGCGAGCGCTTGGTGACGATTGCCAAAACCACGGCTGCCACGAGTAACACGAAGGCACTTCCAACCACATTTATAACCGAAGTCGGTGTGTTGGTAACGTCTAAATCGAAAGCGTTTGTGGCAAGAAATGCTGTGCTTGTCGCAGCCGCTGGAGGCAAAGCAGTGCTGATGTCAGAAAGCGTATCGACGATTTCATCCAGTTGCTTTTGTTTCTTTTCCTGTTCGTCAGCGAAGATGTCCGTATTTGCCATTAGTTCATCTTGCGGCTCTAGCGCCGTGTTGTCAGCCAGAAAATTAATAAGCTGCTTAATCTTATCTTTCTGAGTGGCTTCTCCGGCCAAAAATATCTGCAGTGCCGGTAGGTCCGATGGCAGTGCAAGACTGTTGACCAGCGCGTCGAGCTCGTCCTGTCGGGCCTGCTGGTCCTCCGCGAACACGTCTTTTTGAGCCATAGCTTGTGGTCGTTATATCAGGCGTGCTTTACGTAGTAAATACTTTGTCCGTTGAGCCTCAGAAATATGGAGATCTTTTGGATCTTACGCGTCCTTTCGTGACTTGTCACTATCATTCCTCTTGATAGTTATTAATTTTCGGTCCCTATTTTGCTACAAAATCATATCACAAGTTTGCTTCCTGTACGTAAAGTATCTGATGCAGTAACGCCAGTAGAAGATCCTGAATTGACAGATTCCATAGTGCACAAGTCTCAACAAGCCTCTGGCAAGCTACTTGGACATTCCATAGTGACGGCCACAGCCAATCAGTGTCCCTATCATGGTTGCAATGAAATTTTAGCCAGGCTAAGAAATGACAGCAAGTCTGAGAAGTAAAACAAAAAGCCGGTGCATCGGGCGGTTCACACTCGCAAGAAAAGGTATTTGCGTATTATGCAGGCGACGAAGACTGAGGGTTCAGACTGCCTCTGCGATCTGTTTGGGCTAAAGTGAGCGGAGCTCAAAGCTAGTACCCATAAAGTTTTTGCGATTACAATTTTTATCTGGACGAGACGGATGGAGGTGTTACGTATTCCAAATGTCTTTGCAGCGTGTGCGTAGAAGTGCTTTTCGACACCTGGTCGTTAAAAAGTACAAGGCATTCAAGCAAACAAAACGGAAACTATTATTAAGATTGAGTAAATTCAAAATCGTGTAGAGTCATTTGCCAACTTTCAGCGATACCTTGTCGAAACTGCTTGCTGTATACTTTCGATAGTGAGTTTTAAAGCTTTCCGTCAATCTTGCCTTTGAAAAATCGTGATTCTGGTAGATTGCATATTTTTAAATTGAGGTTAACAACTTGCAAGAGGATGTCATGAATAGAATTTCTTACGATTTTTCGTCAATATCGACTGAGCCCTTCGAAAACACTTTTTTCCTGGTTCGACTTCATCCTCCTCGTTCTCAAAATGATTTTCAATATCATCAATAACCGCTTGTTGATAAACTTTAGAATCGGGTTCATTTAAACTCAAAACCTTGTGAGAAATGATATGTCAAATCATTCAATTAATATTCAATGGTGCAATTTTGCATCACCGAGACTAAATTCTTTCACATGCTGTCCTCACTTTTTTCTTTATCAATTCTCTGTCTTCTTGCATGAAATTAAGGAATCTGCCTTTGCAAAGCAGTAGTTTAATGCCCCTTATACGATAGCACTCCATAACATGATTAGTCGCGTCTATAAAATGGGCTGGACTTCCGAATTCCACTCCCGCTGCGCCTCGTCTCAATTTGGCAGCAGTTGCTTCTAAACGGACTTTTAGATCTTCTGTCAGATCATGAAAGGAAGGAATGTTTTTCATCAGCGTAAACTTGTAGCGCTTCTTCCGTGCAGCGATAATTCCCATGTCATTAACTATTTTCACGATGTAACATTCAGCGAAAATCATGAAACCCTCATTCCGTCTTTTCGAAAGTTTGAGAATGTCCAGGTGGATTATCAAGAATTAAAACCACCCTCTAGCCCATTTACGACAAACGAATAGTCGGAAAACTGTTTCAAACCATTGGTTAAACAGCAATGTAGTCCATGTCTTCTCTCGATTGAAATATGGCGATGGCCATTGCTGCCCCGCTGTCGCGTTGACTTTCCCGATCATTACTACAAATCTGGCTCAGTCTCGGTTGCCTTTGCAACAAATAATAAGAGTAACCATATCTTCGGACTTTGTCTTGCCTCGAGCAGTAGTCAAATTTTAAGGGTCAACAAAAGCGAGGCAGCAAACGGAGAAATAAGTCTGTTTTATCTGTTATAGACGCAGCTTGGGTCATGTCCTTCAATATTCTCCTCAAGTTTTTTCAATGCTTTTAATGTCTGAGGTTTGTTTTTATCGACATCACCGCCTTCGTAGTAAAGAAAAGGAATGGATTGCAGTTCTGTCCTGGTACGAAAATCTGGTTCCAGCCCCAACTCAATGGAATCTTTTACAATCAGCCATCGCTTTCGCGATTTGCTTTGCTTTAACTACCACCATTGAGGGCGGGAGTTCAATAGAAATCCTCTGACAACCTTTTTTAAACTCATAAAGTTTGTATTTTAATGCTGGGTGCTATGGTTCCCAATCCGAAAGACCTTCTCTTTCATTTTGACTTTCATGTTTATTGCTCGAGATATAATTTCTTCTGCTGTAGCCGAACTATTTGTATTAACACCATACTATCTCTCACTATGCCTCGCACGAAAGGCATTTTGCCGGCTGGCAACTCCATCTTTTCGATAATTTCGAAACGTTGGGCCTTGCCAAGACGCTGCCCTTCCCCTCTTCTCTTCTTTTGAGCGACGCGAAGATTTGTTTTCACTCTATGAAGATTCAAATCGTGGATTCGCAGACGAGGACTGAAATGCGCTAAGTCCGCAACCTTCGGAAAAGTCCGCACAAGGCTGTACCAATAATTTTTATTTGTTCAGCTAGAATTTAAATTGAAGACGCAAAGCCTAATTTTTTGGGTGTTTTTTACGGCAGCACTTGTGAGGTTGTGGTTTGTTTTGGTGTACCATCCTGATTAAAAATAGGTATTAGTTAAAGTGTTGGTACTTAGATAAGGAGAGGAGTAAAGGGGTACGTGCCCAATTAATGTGTACGTACACGATGCATTGCCCGCAGACCTGAAGCAAACTTCAGCAAACGAGGCAATCTGAAAGACTATCCAAACAGCAAATCTCGCGAGTATTCACGTCGCCTGATTACGCTTGCTGCTGCAGTCAGATTACTGTCCAAAGAGGAATTCCAGTACTCACATTTCACAAATACAAGTGTACCAAATGTGTAAACGCAGTTCCTCGGTATAGTGCTGATTCGTCGTATAATTAAATCACCAGAAATAGCTTTTGTAATTTGAAAATTTAAAAAAAGTGTTGTTATTTTAATTTCGATATGTAGCTTATCTCGAAAGCATGTCTGCCAAGGGATAGTTGTACTGGAGACTGTTGCGTCAACATTAATTCAGGACACACACCCTGATCCTCATTATGAGCCTATACTAATCGGACAAATTTCCGCTTCGGCGAGTGAGGCTCCTATCCATGCTCGAACGTATAGGCTTGCCCATTGCAAAGTCGTCGCCACGAAAAGAAGATAGAGATATTAACGGTCGTATCAACGACTTAGCAACGCTGCTTTCCTTATCACCGTCGTCATACTCGATCACATAAGTCCCATTATCATTGACACGGGAGATTGTACCTTTATAGTACAGATCTTTTTGCATGTATCGAGCCTCGATACGTGTACCAACACGATACGCCACATGACTAGAAACAGAATTGGAAGACTTTGATTCACTTCTAGCCTCAATACCCAACCGGCTTGAAGAAGTTTTTTCGACATTCGCTTCGTAATCACTACTATAGCCGACTATATGGCTGCGAGGCTGAATCAGCTCAGCCACCACACTCGTCTCCTTCTCGCCATCGTCGTAGTCGATATCGTATGTTCCGTTTAACCGACACCGAGAGATCACACCCGGATAAAATCTGCTCTTGC